TAATGTATTAATTAACTACTAATTCCTTTATAACACAATTTGTGACAGTTTAACAAGTGCTTGGAGTAGCAACTTCAGGCAGTTGGCAAAAAATTTCAGGCACAATACTGTGTATACGTATTGCCTAAAGTTGTTACTTCATGCAGCCTGAAGATCTAATTTCAGGCAGTTCAACTTCAAGCGCAACTTCAGGCACGACATAACTTATATATATGGTGGTGTGATTTTATTAGAAAATCTTGATGTATCATTTATTTTTGATCTCATGATTATTTCTTGTGAGCTTCGTCTTGAAGAATTCGCTAAGTATCTTGAAACATTTAATTGAAACAAAAGCTCATTGGCTTCGTTTACATTTACTTACATTTATCGGAGAAGTTTCAAAAGTGATACATATTAGTAAAATATCCAAACTATATTATTGATTCTAAAGATTTATCTTCACTTCAAGAAAATGTGTTAGTCTCAGTAATCAGCAGAGATGAATTAAAAATGGAAGAAATAAAGATTTGGAATTATGTCATCAAATGGGGAATTGTTCAAAATCCATACTTATCATCCGATTCTCAAGATTACATTGATGAAAATTTTTTAGCAAAAGACTACTTTACAAAATGGCTTACCTCTTATCAAATATCTGGAGATGATATTTATAATAATGTATATCCATACAAACAAATACTTAAAAAAACTCTTTGGAAAGATACAGATTAGCATCTACAAAAATACTGGTATTATCGAAAATTCTTACACCTCAACACCAACATTACCGATACAAAAAACTGAACCATTTACAAAAGTTATTAGTGAAGCACATGCAAGTGAAATTGCTTTATGGACTGATAAAAGAGAAGATAAATATTCTATTACAAATAATCTTTACGAATTTAAATTACTTCATTGTGGAAGCAGAGATGGTTTCATCAGGAATATATTTTGGAATTTATGAGATAAGCAATCAAATATTGTCATAGTTGTGAAAGTTAAAGATTCTGACGAAATTCTTGGTGGATATAATCCTAATGGTTGGAACAAGCCAGTTAAGAATCGACTTATCAAGAGTTGCGATAATAGCTTTATTTAAAAAGAGGAATTCTCAGTGATTTTAAATGTGGTCCATGTTTTTATGGTCTTTATATAGGGTATCTTAATAATAAACTTTATAAATGCCGTTGCTATTATGATACCGAAAACCCTAAATATGAAATTCCAATTAGAAGTATGTCATCTTTTGTTGGAAAATTTTCAAAATATTCGATAGAGGAGTATGAAATATTTTAAATTCATATAAAGACATGAATTTTCTTTGATTGAAATCCATTCAATAAATTCATGTTAACATTAATATTTGAATATTTAAAATTATTAATTTAAAAAGGTTATTTAAGGCGTTCTCAAGTGTCTCAATCAAAGGGTCAAAAAGTGTCGGGGAATAAATTTTATTTAGCGGAAAACATTTATCAGTACAATGAATAAGCATAACTTGATAAAGTTTATTACGTAAATCAAGCATTTTTTATTATTAAAAGGTATTTTATTCTCGCTCGGATCTGTTTATTATTCGAAGAAAATACACTGAGTGTGCCACGCTGCGGCTCTTTATTATATATATACGACAATATATTACATTATGAAAATAACGATGATATTTATATGTATAAAATGTTGAACTAAGATCACGTGACGAAGATTTACGAGAATCGGGCATGTGTTATGATATGCCGCGTTTAGAGAGATTGCCCACGTTAGGTGCAGCGCAAAGGTGAATACCCATTTCAAAGAAAAAATGTATATATGTATATACAGGTAAGTTTCGTTGGGCGTTGGGGAGCAAGCTACGAAGCAGATATATTATTATCACCATCCTTTTTTTTTTTTTTTTTTTTTGTCCCCAAGCATCCCACATTTCCGTGTCCGATTTTTTTTTTTGGAGGGGGGCCGGGATGGGACCACAGAACAAATTCGGGCAGCGAAGAAAAAAGGCACTGCCGATCCTAAGTTTCACAATTTCCCCTTTTAATAGCCATTTCCAGTTTCATATTTGTTTTGGGGTTGGTCCAGGGGCGATCCTC